GAAACCCCGTCTTGAAAAAAAAGGGGGCGGTGGTGGCTGGAGAGATGGCTTAGGAGTTAATAGCCCTGGCTACTCTTCCAGAGGTTCAATTCCCAGCTACCAGGATGTTCACAACCAACTGTTATGAGCTCTGGTGCCCTCTTCTGGCCCTAGGGCATACATGCAGGCAGAGCACTATAATAAATAAATCTAAATAACCAAACAAAATAAATACGGGACTAGAAAGATGGCTCAGTAGTTAAAAACACTGGCTCTTCTTCCAGAGGACCCAGGTTCAATTCCTAACACCCATATAGTGGCTCACAATAGTCTGTAATTCCAGATACCTTTTACAGGCCTTCATGGGCTCCAGGCACACACAAACATACATATAAAAGCAAAACACTTATATACTAAATACAATAATAAAAACAAATGTGAATTGGGCTAGAGATATAGCTCTTCTGGCTTCCATAGCAAGCACAAAATCCTGGGTTCAATCCCCAGCACTACCCCAAAAATAAGTGTGAAGGCACATATATGTAATCTAGCTCTCTTAGATAGAAGCAGAAGGATCAGGAATAGCCATCCTTAGCTATACAAGTAGTGATTCTGAGACCAGGCTGGGCTAAATGAGACTCTGCCTCAAAAATAAAGACACACACACCACACAAAGATACATAAACACATACATACACCACACATAAAGACATACACACAACAACAAGAACAACAAACCCGAAAGAAAACTCTCATAGGCTCAGGAACATCACAGAAGGGAGAGAAGGCAGACACAGCTCTAAGAGTTGAACACGGTGGTGGAGTAGCAGAATGCGGTCCTCCGGGAATGATGTGGCCACCACAGTCTTGAATTCTCTGTGATTACCTGCACAAGATCTGTCCTGTCACCATCCAATTACAAGAAGAGTAGAAGACTTCACAGATGCCCATCTCTCCAAGAAGATTTAAAGACTGCTAAATGGTTGCAAGGAGAGAGACACTTTCTTCAGTGGTGTAGCCACTGCTAAGAAACTCATGCTTCGCCCATATATAAATTACTACCCATGACCCCGGAAGTAATTCTGATAAAACCCACTGGGCCACCAACAATTAGAACAACAGGAAAGACATGAATGTGGAAAGAGAACTATTTGGAAAGAGAAAGGTGAGTGGCAAGAGTGGGAGGGGACGAAAGAGGGCAATAAGGCGTAAGCTTGATTGCAGCGTGTTATACACATGCGCAAAGGAGTCACAGTGAAAACCACTATTACATGTAACTAGCACATGCTAATGACAAGCTTTTCAAAAGTGACCTGAAAAGAGCATTCCTCATCTCAGGGCTATCAGCACCCCAGAGAGAGGGGAGTCATGTGACAGCTTTTGACCAGTTCCTATTTGAATCAGCTGAGAAGTTTAGATGAAGTTTTAGACTTTGGGTTTTTTGTTTTTCTCCTGCAAGTGGTGTCTGTTCAGATTTTTAAAAAAGTATCTGTGTGTGTCACAGCCCTTGTGGAGCTTAGAGGACTTCCTGTGGGCGTTGGTTCTGAGTCCCTAGGATAGAATTCGGGTCTTCCAAAGTGTCTGCAAGCCTCCTTCACAGGCTTGCAGAACCTGTCCAGATGATTTTAGCTGAATGTTTCTGCCACTGTATGTTCAAAAATGGTCATTTCTGGCTGATCCTTCAAAGAAAGCGAAGAGCATTTGCTTGGCTGACAGCCTGGGTTTTGCCAGACTGCTTGGACTTGGTATGGCTCTCAATATTGCCTCTTGGGGGCTGGAGAGATGGCTCAGAGGTTAAGAGCATTGCCTGCTCTTCCAAAGGTCCTGAGTTCAATTCCCAGCAACCACATGGTGGCTCACAACCATCAGTAATGGGGTCTGGTGCCCTCTTCTGGCCGACAGAATATTGAATGCATAATAAATAAATGTTTAAAAAAAATATTGCCTCTCTGTGGATCCGTTTACACATTTACAGAGGATGTAAAACATACCAACCTGGCCGGGCGGTGGTGGCGCACACGCCTTTAGTTCCAGCACTCGGAGGCAGAGGCAGGCGGATCTTTGAGAGTTTGAGGCCAGCCTGGTCTACAAGAGCTAGTTCCAGGACAGACTCCAAAGCTATAGAGAAACCCTATCTCACAAAACAAAACAAACCCTTAATTTTGACATAACCAAATATAATTAATTACTTTATTCTTTATGACTTGTGTTTCTAAGATTCTGGGGTCAAAAGTATCTGTTGGTGGTGGGGCTGGAGAAATGGGTCAGTGGTTAAGAACATTAGCTACTCTTGCAGAAGACAGGAGTTCAATTCCAACATCCACATGAAGGCTCACAACCAGCTATAATTCCAGTTCCAGGGTATCTGAAGACGTTGAATGCATGTGGTATACAGGCATACATGTAATCTAAAAACCTATACACATAAAACTAAAAATTTCTTTGAAAAAACTTTCTCAATGTGTGTTAGCATTGTTGTTCACTGTGTGCATCCACATGCCCGCACGCGCGCGCGCGCGCGCGTGTGTGTGCACACGCAAAAATTTAAGGCCAGACTGGTATACAAAATGAATTCCAGGACAGCCAGGGCTACACAGAGAAATCCTATCTTGAAAAACAAAGACAAAAGCAAACAAAAATTGACAATTGACAACTCTGATGTCTTCTATTCCTTTTTTCTTTCCCCTGCCACATTGTTTTCACTACTGTGAATTTGTAATATGTTTACTATTTTTGGTAAAGCAACTCTCCAGCTTGGCTCAGTGTTTTCAAAAACGTCTGAAGCTGGGACTGGATGTGGTGATATAAGCCTGGAATTCAGCACTTGGGAGACATTTTAGGGAGACCCAGAGTTTGAGGCACCCTTAGGCTGCACATTGGGTTCAAGGCCATAACACAAAACAAAAACAAATAGACAAGCCAGGCTGGGTGGTGGTGGTGCACGCCTTTAATCCCAGCACTCGGGAGGCAGGCAGAGGTCTGTGAGTTTGAGGCCAGCCTGGTCTACAAGAGCTAGTTCCAGGACAGGCTCCAAGCTACAGAGAAACCCAGTCTAGGAAACAAACAAACAAAACAGCAACAATAACAAAACCAAATAGCCAAGGGCTTAGGATGTAGCTTAATGGGAGAGGCTGTCTCTTGTTCAGGTTTCTTCTTGTGTTTAAGAGATTTTTGGCCAGGTGGCCAGGCATGCAACAGCAGGCCTTTAAGGTCTTTAATCCCAGGAGGCAGAGGAAGGTGGATCTCTGTGAGTTTGAGGCCAATCTGGTCAACAGAGTTCCAGGACAGTCTGGTTACACAGGGAAACCTTGTCTTGTTTGTTTTGAGACGGAGTCTCACTGGGTACACCAGGCTGGCCTTGCACTGTGAGTCCCCACACCAGGTCAGATTTTATTTTTGTGTCTCCATGTGTGCATGCTTGCACAGGTGCCTGAGAATGCTGGAAGATGTCTGATTCATGGTAGCTGGAGTCATCTGGAAAAGCAGTACACAGTCTTAATCAACAAGCCATTTGTCGAGCCTTTATTTTAGTTTCTGAAACAGGGTCTTTCGTATTCCAGGTTCACTTCAGACTCAATATGTAACCAAGAACAACCTATAAATCCTGATTCTCCGGCTCTTATCTGTCAAGTACTAGGATTACAGATATGAACACCATGCCTGTATTTACACTGTACTAGTTTCATGTATTCTAGGCAAAGTACCAACTGAAGCACAATTTCTAACCCAAAAGTTCTACCTTTTTAAGTGTTAATTTTTTATTTTATTATTTTGTGACAGAGTCTCACCACATAGCCTTGGCTGGCTTGCAGCTACCTATGTAGACCAGGTTGGCCTCAAACTCAGATATCTGCCTGCCTTTGCCTTCCAAGTGCTGGAATTGAAGGCATGTGCTAGATATCGGCTTAAAGAATATTCTGCACTTGGTATCCCTACTTTCAGAATGTCTTTCTTACTTTTCTTTAATAAAGCTATATCCACACTCCTAAAAATGAATATATNTTAAATCTGGAGAGATGGTTCAGTCGTTAAGGAAACTTGCTGCCGTCCCAGGGGCCCGGGGTTTGGTTTGTTTGTTTGTTTTCCCGAGACAGAGTTTCTCTGTGGCTTTGGAGCCTGTCCTGGAACTAGCTCTTGTAGTCAAGGCTGGCCTCGAACTCCCAGAGATCCATCTGCCTCCGCCTCCCGAGCAGGAGTTTGGTTTACAGCACTCCCAACTGTCTGTAGCTCCAGTTCCTGGGTCTGACATCCTCTTCTGACTTCTGCAGACGCCAGGCACACACATGGTACACATACATACACCTTGGCAAAATACTCATACACTCACATAACATGAATAAATCTAAAAATTAAGAACAAAATATGGGGCTGGACCGATGGCTCAGCAGTTAAGATTACTGACTGCTCTTCCGGACCAGGGGTTCAAGTCCAGCACCCACACGGCGGCTCACAAGTGTCTGTAACTCCAGTTCCAGCGGATTTAACACCCTCACAAGGACAGACAGGCGGACATGCAGGCAAAACACCAATACACGTTTAAAAATTAAAAAGAAAAGAAAAGAACAAAATGTGAACGGGACATGGCGTGTAGGTGCTGGAATGGCAGAGACCGATCTTGAAAGAAGTGTGCCCGAAATTATGGCGTATTAAAGGCAGGTCGTTGTTGCATTAAAATCACTGGCTAGTCAGAGAGCAAACGAGTTTCATCCAGTTCCATCTAACTAAAGCCTGCCTCAACGACGTCGCTTTCGACATTGTATAGAGTTATAAGGGACAGCACCTGGAGACTGAATTCTAGAGGTGAGAGCGTAGCACACCGACACAAACAATGCAGCCATTTTGCTTCATTACCATCAAGTTTGGCTGCTGCAGAACGCCGTAGATTCATTACATTAGAAACCGCAGCGTCTACGAGAATTTTTTGCAGCGTTTGAACCCAACCACTTGCCGTCCCGACGCTACTCGTCAACCCGGAGTGGGCGGGAGAGGGACGTTCGTTGCACGTACTTCGATCCGACGTCCTCTGCGGCAGCACGCTCGCACGCTGAGTGGGCGGAGCCATCAGGAGGCTTTATATAGTCTGCCCCACGGCCTGGCCGGCCTCTATCGGCGGCGGCGTGTGACGAGAAATGGTACGTGTGGCAATGGCGGGTGTCCCCTTGGTTCTCTGCTAGCGTGGTCAAGTGGGCGCCATCGTGGTCTCACCATGACTGGGAAGGTGCTTTCGGAGCACAGAGGACATGGCGGGGGCCGCGATGGCCCCTAGACCTCTATTGAGAATGCGTGCGGAGAGCCGGCCTGGGCTTGTGGGAAAGGCCTTGCCTTGAGCCCAAGCCTAAAGGTCCCTCGATTTAAAACGAGTTAATTTTGGTTCTTGACACCAGTTTTATCCCAGAAGTTCGTATTGATAGGTTGGTAGGAAATTCCGTGTGCTTTGGATTGCCTTGGCTAAAACGGGGGTTATTGTGCGAATTTACATTTGGGACCGGATTCCGCGAAAGGAAGAGGGTCTCCCGAGTTCCCAGAAGCTACAAATGATGAACCTTTTGACGGGCGGACAGAAACTCTGTGCTGATTGTCATGTTCTGATTTGGCGTTGGGAATTCGAGAGGCCTACCCGTAAATGCTGGCTTTCGAAGCGCCATGTGTCCATTTAGCAGGGCGTCGTTGAGAGCTCACGCATGTAAAGTGGTATGCTCCAGTGACTAATGGTTAAGTGATAGGGTTGACCAGAGCAGTTGAGAAGGCCCTGTAGTAACGGTGATTCTCTCTTCCCCCAGTCTCACAGGAAGTTCTCTGCTCCCAGGCATGGGTCCTTGGGCTTCTTGCCGCGGAAGCGCAGCAGCAGGCATCGTGGGAAAGTGAAGAGCTTCCCCAAGGATGACCCTTCCAAGCCTGTTCACCTCACAGCCTTTCTAGGCTACAAGGCTGGCATGACCCACATTGTCCGGGAGGTTGACAGACCAGGATCCAGTACGTAAAAAATTCCTTGTACAACTTGGCAGGGTATGTTCAGAAATGGTTGGTGCCTGCAATGAATCTGCAAAGCGCCACAGCAGGTGTTCCGCCTCTGAAGCTGAGGGGTGACCGTGCCCACTTACTGAGACTAAGAATGGCCATGCTAGGCAGATAGGGCCCGTTCAAAATCCTGTGGGGGCAAAGTCTAAAGTTGGTCATTCCTAACCATGTGCATGTCTGGACATCAAAGCCGAGTTAGTCCTAAAAGCAGCCGGTGCCTCACATATTTGGAGCTTTAAGAATTGTTCCTACGTCTGTCTAGACACTTGTTTGATGTCTGGACTGATAGAGATCTGAAACCAGGCCAGTGATAGCCTCATGGCCAAGCTTATTTCAAGTGTAGGGTGAAGCTAAGGTATTTTATCAAAGCAAGCTTCCTGAATGCTGGGGATTATAGGTGATGGTAGTTGCTGCCTGGTGTAATGCCTGTTCTATACTGCCAACGAGTACACAGAACAAGAAGTGTAGTTGAGGTATTGTGACACCTGGGACCTTAGGGTGCAGTGAAAGCTCCTTGGGGAGCCTGAAGATGTGGAGAGCAGTCTTGAAGGCCAGACCGAATAATTGATGCAGAGGCAGAGAGCCTTTCTGGCTGAGTGGGCATTAGAATGGCGGTAGTTATCTACACACTGATGCCTGTTTGCCTTCTCAGAGGTAAACAAGAAAGAAGTCGTGGAGGCTGTAACCATTGTGGAAACACCACCTATGGTAGTTGTGGGCATCGTGGGATATGTCGAAACCCCACGAGGTCTCCGCACCTTCAAGACAGTATTTGCTGAGCACATCAGTGATGAGTGTAAAAGGCGGTTCTACAAGAACTGGCAAAAATCTAAGAAGAAGGCCTTCACCAAATAGTGTAAGAAATGGCAGGATGACATGGGCAAGAACCAGCTGGAGAAGGACAACAGCATGAAGAAGTACTGCCAGGTCATCCGCATAATTGCCCACACTCAGATGCGTCTGCTTCCTCTGCACCAGAAGAAGGCACACTTGATGGAGATCCAGCTAAATGGGGGCACTGTGGCTGAGAAGCTGGACTGGGCCCGGGAGAGGCTGGAGCAGCAGGTTCCTGTGAACCAGGTGTTTGGGCAGGATGAGATGATTGATGTCATTGGAGTGACAAAAGGCAAAGGCTACAAAGGGGTGACCAGTCGTTGGCATACAAAGAAACTGCCCCGCAAGACCCATCGAGGGTTGCGCAAGGTTGCCTGTATTGGCGCTTGGCACCCTGCCCGAGTGGCCTTCTCTGTGGCTCGGGCTGGGCAGAAAGGCT